ATTTTGCTTTCTTTTCTTTTTGTTTTTTTTTTGTTTTATCATCCTTGTCATTGCTAATTGTTTGCTTAGCTTTGGTAAATGCTTAGGAGGTCTCAAGGAGCACCCTCACATCAAATTGATCACAAAATCAACCGAACCTTGAGACAAGTCCGTAGGCTTTATCAAGACGATGTAAGAGGTTTTGGTGATGTAGTTGATAGTGAGAGTGATACTTACTCTTCAGTTCACCACGCAAATTAATAGCGGGACAAGAGAATGATGTCTTGTTTCGTGAGTTTGGAAATCCGGAGGATTATGAGCTCACGGGAGGGATTTTGTGACCTGTCACGGAAACCAACTTCTCAATCCATCCACAATATACTCGAATGGTCCAATCGGAGCAATTTTCCGAAAGTGCAAGTGAGGACCCTATTGAACATTTGGACCGATTCCTTGAATTGTGCGCAATGATGCAAACCAATGAAGTGAGTCAAGACTACATTCGTATGCACCTTTTCTGACAATCTCTCACCGGACGAGCAAAGAAATGGCTAAAGCAAGTAAAGCCTAACTCTCTCACAACAAGGAGGGAGGTTGTAAAGGCGTTCTTGAAGCGCTTTATCTCCGAAGAGAAGACCGCCGAAATGAGAAGGAAAATTGCATCATTTAAGCAAGAGGCCGATGAAAGTCTTGGTGAAGCATGGGAGAGATTCAAAGAGTTGGTGCAAGCATGTCCCCACCATGAGTACAATCAAGGGTTGCTCATGCGGTTTTTCTACGACGGATTGGAGCCCATGTCAAGAGCCAATTTGGATGCGGGGGCGGTGGTCAATTAATCAAAATCAAGTTGAAGCCATAATAGAAGAGGTAGCAAAGAATTACTCTTGGGGGGGCGAAGAAGAAACGCTTCAAAGAGAGGTGGTATTTACGAATTGGAGAAAGTTGATCAATTACAACATCAAATTGATCAACTAACAAAAGGGCTTTCCAAATTAAACACGAGTGTGAACGCAAGTTCAAGTGGTGGAGCAAGCTCTTCTCAAGTTAACTCTTTCTCTTGTCAAAATTGTGGAGGAACGAACCATGATACATCTTATTGTTGAGGTTTAAGCCCCCAACATGTAGCGACATAAAACACAAGGCAAGAGGGATTTAGAGGAAGCGACGGTGGAGTAGCTTGGAGATAACCACCACCCGGGTTTGTACCTCAACCTCAACAATGGAACCAACAAGCTAAACCTTCCTATAACTCCAATCCTCAATATAAAAATCCACATCCATCTCAACCCCAAAACCAAAGAGGAAGCTATCCAAGGAACAACCAATAAAACAATCAAACCCAAGCACCTCAAAGAAACCATCAAGAACAAGCACCTTAAGCGGAGCTAACTCAAACTCAACTCCTCCAAGCCATGCATGCGCAAATGCAATCTTTTGGGAACCAAATTCAAGAGATAATATCTCACAACAAGATGGTTGATTCACAACTAGCTGAATTGGCCGAGAGAACTCCTTTCAATTCACCATCCACTCTACCTGGACAACTAAAACCTAACCCATCTCACAACCAAAAACCCGATACATGAAAGGCGATCTCATTGAGGTCGGGACCTTCCTATGAAGGACCAAATGAAGGGGATAGTAAGGAAAAGAAGGGAGGAGAGGAGAGTGTGAATGAAAACAAGAGAGGTGAGAAAGAAAAAGGTGATGAGATAGATGGAGGTTCGGAGAAGAAGAAGATTGACAATGAGAAGACAACTTCAATTCCTAGTGAGGCTAGGAATCTTGATGGACCGGTTCCTTTTCCCGGTCGGCTTGCAGAGAGGAAGTTGAATGACAAGTTCACAAAGTTTCTTAGTGTCATGAAAAATTTACATATCAAACTCCCTTTTCTTGAAGTTGTGACACAAATTCCATCTTATTCCAAGTTCCTCAAAGATATTCTCACCAAAAAGAGGAAGCTCAATGATGAGCTTATCACCCTTCCACATCAAGTGAGTGCTCTTGTCCAACATAAGATTCCCAAGAAGGAAAAAGACCCGGGAAGTTTCACTTTACCGGTGAAAATTGGGAACATGGAAGCTAGGGGCGCCTTAGCTGATCTTGGAGCAAGTGTTAGTTTAATCCCTCTATCCATTGCTCAAAAACTCAATATTGAGATGATCCCTACAAGGAAGATAATTCAATTGGCCGATCGATCGGTGAAATTACCTTGTGGAGAGCTTGAGGATGTTCCAATTCAAGTGGGGCACATCTACGTGCCTTGTGACTTTGTAGTGATGGATATGAAGGAAGATGTTAACACTCCTTTGATTTTGGGACGTGAAGCTCTTAAAACTTTGGGGGCGGTCATCAATTGCAAGAACAACACCATCACTTGTGAAGTGGCCGATGAAAAAATTGTCTTTGAATTTTCGAAGTTGCTCAAGACCCCCATGGTTGAAAAATGCTAGAGAGTTGATTTTGTAAATGAGGAGCTACATCGCTTGGGGAGGGTCGTGATGAGGCCTCAAGATCCAATGACTGAAGCCCTTACATGGAAAGAAGAGTTCCACTCTCAAAAAGCTAAAGAATTTGTCATGGCAATGGAGGAATCCTCAAAGGAGGAAGTTGAACAACAAGTTGAGACCGAGCTTGAGTCCAAGGAGGAGAAATTGGAGGAGAGTTCTAAGCCTCCTCCCAAGGTAGAACTCAAGCCCCATCCCCCTTCTTTGAAATATGCTTTTCTTGATAAGGAAGGAAAATACCCTATTATTGTCAATGCTACCCTAGATGGTCTTAATTTGGAAAAACTTCTTGATGTTTTAAGGAAATATATATAGGGATGTGATAGGGTATAGCATTGATGATATTAAAGGTATTATCCCTTCTTTATGCATGCATCGTATTCATCTTTAAGATGATCATTCCACCTCCATTGAACCTCAAAAAAGGTTGAACCCCCACCTTCAAGAGGTTGTGAAGAAAGAAATTTTGAAACTACGTGAGGCGGACATCATCTATGCTATCTCCGATAGCAAATGGGTTGGCCGGTTCATGTGGTTCCAAAGAAGGGTGGAATGACCATAATCAAGGATGAAAAGGGAGAGGAAATCTCCACCCGAACGGTGACCGTGTGGAGAATGTGCATTGATTATAGGAGATTGAACAAAAACACCAAGAAAGATCATTTTCCTCTCCCTTTCATGGACCAAATGCTTGAAAGGCTTTCTAACCATGCTTTCTTTTTTTTCTTGGATGGGTATTCCAGATTTTTCCAAATCCCTATCCATCCAAGTGATCAAGAGAAAACTACTTTCACATGTCCATATGGGACATTTGCATACCAAAGAATGTCATTCGGATTATGTAATGCTCCCTCTACTTTTCAAAGATGCATGACTTCCATTTTCTCTGAGATGCTTGAAAAAGAAATTGAGGTTTTCATGGATGATTTTAGTGTTGGTGGCTTGTCTTTTGACACTTGTCTTTTTAACCTTGAAAAGTTTTGAAAAGGTGTCAAGAGACGAGTTTGGTTTTAAATTGGGAAAAGTGCCATTTTATGGTTGAGGAGGGCATTTTCCTCGGCCATAAGGTTTAAAAAAATGGCATTTAAGTAGATCCGGCCAAGGTTTTGGTGATTGAAAAGTTGCCCCCTCCTACTTCCATCACGGGGTACGGGCTTTTCTTGGGCATGCCAGTTCTTACCGGAGGTTTATCAAAGATTTTTCTTCTATTGTCAAACCCTTGACCGAATTATTCAAAAAAGAGGTTGTTTTATACTTCAATAAGGCTTGCCTTGAGGCATTCGTAAGCTCAAGGAAGCTCTCATTTATTCTCCTGTTGTGCAACCTCCGGATTGGAGCCTTTTGAGCTAATGTGCGATGCTAGTTACTTTGCAGTAGGTGCCGTTCTTGGTCAAAAGAAACAAGGAAAATCATGTGTCATCTACTACGCAAGTCGGACACTAGATGAGGCTCAAAGGAATTACACAACAATGGAGAAAAAGATGTTAGCGGTAGTGTTTGCATTCGATAAGTTTCGGTCCTATCACATATGCTAAAAAGTTATTGTGTACACGGATCACATCGCGGTGCGGTATCTCATGACCAAGAAAGAAGCAAAGCCTCGCTTGATCCGTTGGGTTCTCTCTCTCCAAGACTTTCACATGGAAATAAGGGACAAGAAGGGAGCGGAGAACTATGTAGCGAATCATTTGTCTAGGCTACCATTTGAAAATAAGGAGGGTGTACCGATTAATGATGAGATAGGATTCGAGGCTCTCATGGCTTTGGTGTCAATTTCTACCCCTTGGTACGCGGATATAGCCAACTATCTCGCGTGTGGAGTCGTTCCCCCGGAGTACTCTTCTCAACAAAAGAAGAAGTTTTTCAAGGAGGTGAGTAGATACTTTTAGAATGACCCATACCTATTCAAGCAATGTGGAGATAACCTTTATCGAAAGTGCGTTCCAGATCATGAAATTCAAGGTGTTCTTGAGCATTTCCATTCACTACCATGTGGAGGACATAGTGGTGTTGACAAAAGAGTGGAAAAAATCTCTCAATCCTTATTGTGGTGGCCGACAATGCATAGAGACGCCCACCAATTCGTTGCGCAATGTGATAGATGTCAAATGAGCGGAGGCATTACCAAGAGGGACGAAATGCCCAAACAAAGTGTTTTAGAATTTGAACCCTTCGATGTTTAGGGGGGTGGATTTTATGGAGCCTTTCGTTTCTTCTTGTGGGAATCTATATATCTTGGTAGCGGTCGATTATGTAACAAAATGGATTGAAGCCATACCCTCACCTACCAATGACAACAAGGTTGTGCTTAAGCTCCTAAAGAAGATCATATTTTCTAGGTTTGGAGTTTCGAGGGTGCTAATTAGTGATGGAGGCTCCCATTTCGCCAAAAACCAATTTGAAGCTCTTCTCAAGAGGTATGGAGTTCATCACAAGGTTGGATTACCTTAACACCCTTAAACTCAAGGACAAGTGGAGGTCTCGAATCGTGAAATCAAAAATCTTCTTGAAAGGATGGTGAACAAATCAAGGAAAGATTGGTCTCTCAAACTTGATGACACGCTATGGGCTCTAAGGACGGCGTACAAGACTCCAATCGGCACGACCCCCAATAGGGTGGTCTATGGAAAGGCTTGTCACTTGCCGGTTGAGTTGGAATACAAGGCTTGGTGGGCCATCAAAGAGCTCAATATGGATTTATCGTTGGCCGGTGAGAAGAGATTGCTTAAGATCATTGAACTTGAAGAGCTTAGAGATGATGCTTATGAAAGCTCAAGGTTATATAAGGAGAAGAACAAAAATTGGCATGACCAACATATTCAAAACAAGAACTTTATGGTTGGAGACAAGGTTTTGCTTTTCAACTCAAGGCTTCGTTTGTTTCCGGGTAAACTCAAGTCAAAGTGGTCGGGTCCTTTTGTGATATAAAAGACTACTCCTTATGGCTCCTTTGAGTTAGATGCGGATGGTAACAAGTTTATGGTTAATGGTCATCGTCTAAAGCATTACTTTTGCAAGGAAGAAGTTGGTATCATCAAATGTATATTGCTTGATCCTTTGGATCCCAAGCCTCCCACTTGAAGGATTTTTCTCATGGTCAAGCTAGTGACCTCATTAAGAAGCGCTTCTCGGGAGGCAACCCAAATTTCTCACTCCTTTCTAATCTTTTTTTTTAGAATATTCCGATTACACTTTCTCCTTTTTGAATTTGAATTTGAATTTGATTATTTTTTTCACCTTTTTGGTTAATAAGTGTTTGGATGATGAAGGAACAAGGATTTTCTATTTTGAAGATGTGAAAATAAATCGAAATTACTCTATGCGACCCTGTGCGTGACATCTCTGCGGGCGCGCAATGTGATCTGTGCGGGCGCGCCAGCACTGTCAGAACCTGCACAGATTTATTCACAAATTGAAGCTCGAGGCAGAAAGTTTGTGCGACTTGTTGTGCGACCTATGTCCGGGCGCACATGGTTTCTGTGCGGGCGCGTGTTCACTGTCAAAACCCGCATAGATTTAATCAAAAGTTGAGGTTCGAGACAGAGAGTTTGCGCGTGTTCACCTGTGCGAGCGCGCAGAGCAGGAAAATCGGGTTTTAACCCTCTTCTTCCCGATTTCATTCTCATATTTTCAAAACCAAATTTTCATGCTCTCTTCTCTTTCCTCACAAACCCAAACCCTAACCTTCAAATTTCACCCATTTCTCACAAATTCCATTGATTTTCTTTCAAATCTATCAAAAACTTTCCCTCTACTCACAAATTCACCCACTTTCGCTCTCCAAAATACCCAAAAATCCCCCATTTTCATGGTTTGCAAGCTTCATTGAATGTGGAGTTCTTAGAGGCTCTTAGTGGTGTTCAAGCTTCTACAAAGTGGTATAACTATAAATTTTGCTATTTTATTACTTAATTTCACTTGTTTATGCAAAATTTTTAGTTATTAAACATGAATTAGCTTGAGTGAATTGCATGTGATTTTGGTTTTCTTTGAGAAGGATTTGTTGGTTATAAGTGTGAAGTTTAGTGATTTTGGGGACATTGTTGTTAATACTATTGTTTTAGAAGCGATTTTAATGAAATTAAGTTTAGAAATTTGGTGTTTGTATTGTTGATAATGCAACTAATTTCATGAGAATTACTTACTATCATAATGTGTTTTGATTGACTGCTTTGTTGTTGATTCTTGTTGTCTTGGGCGTTATATTTGTACGGTTAGTTGTTAGCACTAACCCTTTTGCAGATTGTTGAGACTTAGGTTGTTGTTGTTGTTTTCCAATTGTTGGTTAAGTTCGAAGGTAGTTCTCCTTTTGGTTGGGTTTTTTGTATTGGTTGAACATAATGAGCAAAAGAAAGAGCAGAAAGGAGCCCAGGTTAACGGTTGAAGAACCGAGTACCCAACAAACTCAAGCTCAAGGACCTAATGTTCCCCCTAGATTGAGATTTTAGAACAAGGTCCATGCTAAGTTCTTCAATGACCTTCACGGACGAAAGTTAAATCCCTCCCGACACTATGATCAACGCTCCATGAGAGCTTTAGGGATTGACGACGATATAAGGTCGCTCCTTGATAACTTGGGGATTAGTAAGTTCATCAAACATCAATACCGAACTTATAAGAAGCCCACCTTCGAATTCTTGGCCTCTTTTAAAAAAAAACCTCTTGGGAACGACTTCCAAATTTCCTTCCAACTTTTCAACAACATGCACTCTATGACTCTGAGTGATCTTAATGTATTATTGGATTTGAACCCTGAGGCGGACCTCCTTGCCCCTTCGTTGAGCCTGTTCCCTGAGTACGATGCATTTAGATGGTGGCAAACGATTACCGACTTTGAAGAGTTCAACACCAGGTATTCAGTGGCCAACCATATTATCCACCCTGTGCTTTGTATTCTACACCACATTCTGGGGTTTGCGGTGTTTAGCAAGCAGGACTTGAACAAGCTCTCGCATGAGGAGCTATTTACTTTATGGGTTGCCACTAGGGAGGAATTGAAAGGGCGACTCAATATGGGGTACTGGTTCTTCTTGTGCTACGAGGCAATCAAGTCAGGCCACAAGACTGGAGAAATTTACCTCGCAGGGATGATTACAAGGATTGCCAAGAAGCTCAACTATGAACGCCTCTTCCCCTCGTGCACTCAAGTTGGGGCCGACAAAGATCTATTCATCAACATACAGCAGATGAGAAGGTCGGGGTTCCTCCAAGGAACTTCAGATGCCAACAATTTTCATGCCTGGATAGTTGACCGAGAGCACTATTGTATCTTGTCATACCCCAGTTGTACATCCCTAGAGCGGAATGCAAGTAATGTATGGAAGATTCCGCAAGATAATGGTGTGCTACCCACTGCTCTTGGTGGCTTAAGTAATATGAAAGTTGGCCAACAGCAACAACAGCAACAACAACAACAACAACAACAACAACAGCAGCAGCAGCAACAACAACAACAGCAACAGCAACAGCAGCAACAACAACAACAACAACAACAACATCATCATCATCAGCAACATCAACATCATCAAGGCATGAGTAGCCTTGAACAACAAATGATGAGCATGCAACTTGGCATGCAGAGCATAATGGAGAACCAACAAGGTATGTTTATCCAAACCCAAGCTCTTTATGGTGCGGCCGTGGATAGGGGTGAGGTCACCCCCCCGATAAACTACCCCTATTGGCCACCCCAACAAGGGTCGGTCCCTGGGTGGCAGGGATCACAACCTACTTGGCCCTATTGGCAAGGGCCCTCCTCCCACGGTGTTCCCCGGGTAGACTACCTAACGGAAACCGGGTACGATTATCGTGCCCCAGGGGGGGAGCTATTTTCGGGGTGACCCTAACTATCCATATGTTGACCCTACCAACCCTTCCCCTCTTTAGCTTCCCGCCCCTTTCGACCCGTTGCCTCAATGGCAACAGGACCTCTTCCGAGGTCACTATGGTTGGCCTCTGGGTTACTCCGGTGGTTGGGACCCACACGGAATCCTTCCGGACGGTTTTTCTTACGACACCAAGGTTGATGGAGATGATGACGGAACCGGCCCTAGTGGCCAATAGCCCCCCTTGTTCTTTATTTCTTCCCTTTGTCCCCTCCCAATGTTTTTAATTTGGCGCACCGGGGACGGTGCATTGTTTTAGTGTGGGGGAAGGCTTGTCATCAGGCTAGTGTGGGGGGGATTTCATTGTAGGTGGTAGAGCTCTCATCGTTCGGTTGGCTTTATCATGTTTTGATGTTGATTTATCTACTTGATTGTGATGATTATGTCCTTGGGTGATTTTGAAAGTTTTTGCTAATGAATTTTCAAGTTTTTGTGTAGGTGATGGCGCTCCCATGAAGAAAAATTCAAACTCTTGATAGTCCAAACTTCCCTTAATCCAAATTTCTTTTAGTTTATCTTATTTTATTCCTATTTCTTCATTTTGTTTAAATTCTTAGTTTCTTTCTTTGATTTTCACTTTATTTTATTTTATTTTGTTTCATCTCAGTCGTTTCTTTCATTTTGGCTAACTTTTAAAGCTTGAAAATGGAAATAATGGAACTCAAAGGGCAATTCGAGCCCCCCTCGGTGTTTTTTTTTCCTTGGGTGTTTAGCTTAGGTTTAGCTTAGGAAGAAGTTTAATGTTTCCTCTCTTTTATTTTTTTTCCTTGGGTGTTTAGCTTAGGTTTAGCTTAGGAAAAAGTTGAATGTTTCGAGGATGTTTGCTTTTGGTTCTATGGAACCTGGGATCTTTGATGTTGTTATCGAACGATCACTTGTATGATGATTGATATTTAACTGAATTATATGCCTCGTATGTGAACCTTTTTTATTTCATCCTCTTTCTTTTGTTTTGTTTTCCCCTTTTTGTGTTACAAGCATAATTATGACAATTTGAAATGATTTTTGATGTGTAATTTTCTCACTCTTTTGGATTGGTTTGCCTCGAAGTGTCTTTGAATGCTTATCTTCCTAGTTGATGAGGGTTTGCACGGTTTGAGAAAGCTTTGGGTTGAGTTAGACACATTGCAAGCTAAGGTAGACAGTTTAGAACTTTTGAGGACGTTTGAACCCCTAGTTCACGGGAAATTTGTAAGATGGTGTTGGTCTCTAGGGTGGATAGGATTCCCTTTGTTAGTATTTGCTATATTTCTTATCCCGTGTGAGCATCATTTGTTTTAGCCTTCATCATTCTTGTGAGAGGTGTTTAGGGTAAAAATTACCCATGACAAATGGACCAATCCGCACCTGCCACGTGTCCACCACGTGGGCCAATCAGCGTCCGCCATTTGTCACCCTAAGAGGTCCAACATGGAATAATCAGGCCACGCCACGTGGCCTCCCATATGCCAAATAGGCAAAATGGCCACCAAGGCCCAAAGTCCGAGAGAAGCCCAATTTGCCCTGGTTAACCTAAACCTAAAATTGGCACGCTTCTCAAGACTATAAATACTTAATTAATCCTCATTAAAGGGGATTCAGCAGAATGACTCTCACCTAGAGAAAACCAAAACATATTGATCACTCCTCCCCTAGAGGAACCAGATCTCCCACCTTTACTTTCCGCATTTATCACTCCTCAAACAAGTACTAACTTGACCGTTGGAGGCGGAGCTCCCACCACAAGGAGTCTTCGTTGTTTTGCAGGTACAGGCGCAAGGATACCAGTCCCGGAATTGTAACTCTCCCGCAGGACATCAGAAAACCCCGAAACATTTTGGCGCCGTCTGTGGGGAGAGTACTTTCGAGATGGCATCACAGTCTGTACCGATTCTAAGTGACAAGCGTCCCATGGACGACCCCCTTGTCCAGTCAGACTAGGATACCGACGAAGAATATGAAGTTGAGACTCACACAGCCCCTGACGGGTCCCTCAGAGCTCGACGCACCCGTCCCATCGAAAGGAGGGAACGGGGAGACTGCCTGGCTAAATCTAGTAAACCA